GTTTGAGTATGAGAATCCATGTAAAAGACAGGACAGCTGTCCTTGTAGAGGGCATCCTGCATAGTCAGAAGCTACACACATAAGACATAACCAGGATGAGCAGCTGCAAGCGGACAAGTGGCTTATCCCATTCAACCAGTCGGCAGAAGACACGTGAGAAAGAGCAAATGCCCATCGAATAATGCCCTCTTACATATAACCTTGCTTCCAGCAACTCCGGTTACCCGTGACAAGCCGCAGTCTGGAAATGTTCAATAGAAAATTCCAGGAGCAAATAATTCATCAGTTTTAAAATTACATACTGACCAGAGCAGTGTGATAAAATCCCCACCCAAGATGAGAATTTTGCCCAGCATTTCCACGTTATCTGTGCTACCTTCCCATCGGTCACTTGGCTGCGGTGTGAGTTACTGGACTCACTGTTGTGGGGTTGCAGTGCTGGTGTCCAGCTGGCCCTTGTTTTACTGAATACTGCCTCAAGTTGCACCCAGTGGTGATGCAGGTAATGCAGACCAAAGAAAAGCTGCAAAACACCTCCTTTACAGGAGTGTGTGAAAGCCACAAAAGAGGTTGCATCTGCATTGCTGTTATACATCACAAAAGAGGTTGTCTATTTTATTAGTAGTTATTATTGACCTCCGAGGTGTGTAGGCATAGGAGGAAATACATAGTGTACGCAGCATTTGGTAGTATTTGACCACCCCTGGGGAAGACCCTATCCCCTGCGGGTAGAGAGAAGCTACTGCGGTTTTAAGCCTCTGAGTTTGGACGTTTTGTCAGTCACAGATGACTGGTAGGCCTTGATTTACCACTTGGAGAGAGACCAGGCATGTTCAGAGAGGAGACTAGTCCTAGAAGCAACCGTATTGATGGGAACAAAAAGCAAACCATTGGGCGGTGGTGGCACATGGCTTTAATCCTAGCACATGGGAGGCAGAGGCAGGCGAATCCCAGTCAGTTTAAGCCCAGCCTAGTCTAAAGAGTGAGTTCCAAGACAGCCAGGGATACACAGCGAAACTCTGTCTCAACAAACCCCAAAAAACAAGAAACAAAAGCAAACAAACACCCCCCCCCAAAAAAAAAAACCCACGTAAAAATTTGAACCAGGGACTCAAAGAACACAGTACTTTAAGGCCATTTTGTAGGAAGCCAAGCACGGCATCTACGATCAGGGACTTAATCTAAAGGAATTTAAGAGCAAAATGCAAAAAACAATGGCTTGAGTTATTCAGAAAAATGAACCAGAAGGCAGGGTTCTTTCTTTAGGAAGGCAAGTTTGTGAGCCACATTTAAGGAAGATTATCACTTAAAACAGGATAAAAACTGTACTGTTGAGTGGTATTTATCTGGAAAGTTAATTTTGTAGACTAGGGATTATCATTTTTGGATCGAGAATACAGTTGCACATTTAAGAAGAGCAAGAAGCCACCTGGGAAACACACCGATGCTGACATGTCAGGGACATTTAAACACTACTGGGGACAATGGACAAAATGTTTGAAACTGAAACGAACTGAGAAAATCTACAGAGCCAGTCCCCCCATCCACGACCCCTCCCTCTGGGAAGACAAGAGGCTGGAGTGTATGCACTTCCGTGCCAGCCGTGGGCAGCCTGCAGGGCTGTCTGAAGGAGAGTCAGAGCAAGGAGAGAGAGAGAGCGGAAGAACTGTATTAACACACAAACCTTCAAGGCCAGCCTCTCTCCTCCTCGGAGCACCATACAGTCAGTTCCTCACATCTCATGTACCTGCTCCCATCAAAAGTGTGGTTAATCACCACTTTGGAAAATTGCTAGTCCTTCCTGTTCACTGTGGAGGGTCCCGAGCGCCAAGGACTGGAGCCAGGCCTTGAGCGTGCACTCACTCATATTAACCCTGTTGGCTAACCACCACTGCGATCTCCTCTTTTAGAGAAGTAGAAGGGAGAAAGAGAGATAGAGCAACCAGCTTCACTGAGAACACGGGGAACGGCCAAGGCAGGACACAAACCGCCATAGTAGGCTCCAGATACCCCTGACTGTTGTGTCCCTTTGCACTTAGCTGTAGGCCTTAGCCCCACCCCAATTCTTGTGTTCCAGATCTGGGCCACCTATATGGCCAGGGACAGCTTCTCACTTTTTGGGCTCTTGGGCAACTAAGTAAAAAAAAAAAAAAAAGGCAGGGACTTTTGCTCATGGGGACAGGATTCTAATTACCACTTATCACCTGGAGCAGGCCCAGGGAAACCGGATCTAGAATGGGACTGGGTGGCTCACCCGGGAGAGCTCAGTTTTCACCTCTGGCCAGCTGCCAGTGCCACCTCCTTGGCACCTCCTGGCAGAATACAGCAGCTGACAGGCCAGGCTCCGGTGGCTTTATCTCCCACAAGCACCCGGCAGCCCTCCCTCTGCTCTCTCTGGGAGTTTCCTTGTGGCTTTAGGGAAAGGGCCTCACGCAGCATTGAAGGGCTGTCAGTTACTGCTGCCGGAAATAAAATCCAGCCTCTGTTGGGGTTGGACCCCGAGAAGTTTCTATCTGGGGAGTTGTGGTTGGATGAAGCCCTCGTGAGAGCGCCTCTCAAGTGTAATTACACGGACCAGCTGGGGCTCTTCCCAGACAGCCTGTAAATAAACAGTGGGCCTGCCAGACTCCCTTCCTCTGCTCCACGTCGGGAGGGGGAGACATATCACCTACCTCATTCTGAGTGGCCTCTCCAGATGACTGGTTCAGGCATCTCTCCACACCCCCAAAGATAAGACAAAGCTGAAACCCCAGGCCCTTCTGAAGCGAGACCTTAGGCCTGTGTAACTACAAAGGCATCACCAGAGCCCTTACCCCAGATTAGTCCACTTGAAGCTCAAAATACAGCTTGTTTGGGTCTCTGCTGGAACCACTGAGTCCATACCTAGGATTAGGGTTTAGCAGTTCCGTGGCTTAGCCCTCCATTCTGGCCTCAGAATTGGCCTTGGGTGTGCGCACCTGACGAAAGGTACTCTGTGTACAATATCCTCTCTCCCATGAGCCCTTACAAGGCAGACATCGCCATGCATACAGACGCTGTCCCATGCCAAGGCTGTGCTTTGGCATTACTCGCCAGCTATGTCACAGGAAAACTGAGGCAACTTTAGCTCTTGGCTACTCTTTGGGAGGGGACAAAGGCAACCTCATTGAGAAGAAACAGCACTTTTCAGAGCTGGGTGAGCTGGCTAGAAGTCCCTCATTTTGACAGTGGGGATGAGAAGTGAGTCTGTAGCCTGCAGCTAGCTAGACCTGGGACGTTAGAGTAATTGCTATCGATGTGGTGGGAGCTTCAGCCATTGGTGCCAGCAGAGACATCTGCAGTAGGGAGCATAGGAACACCGTATTTCTCAGCGGGGTCTGTTTTGCTGTCCCTTTGCACATTTGGCAATGCCCTGAGACATGGTTGGTTGTCACAATGGTGAGGTGGCCTCTAGTGGATAGAAGTTAGGAATGCTGTTATATCTTATATTGCACAGAATATTAAAAATGCAACGAACAGTTGCCTGGCCCAGAATGTTCGTAATTCACTCCATTATTAAGAATGCCAACAGGGGGCTAGAGAGATGGTTCACCTGTTAAGAACATGCACTACTTTTGGAGAGAACCCCAGCGAGGCTTCTAGCACCCACACCGGGCAGCTAACAACCACCCGCACTTCCATCTCCGGGGATCCAATGTTCTCTGGCTTCTACAGGCAGTACTCACATGCATATCCCCCCCCCACACACACTTACTATTGAAAATGTAAAAAAAAAAAAACTTTATGAATACAAACAGACTGAACCTGGAGGTGATCCTGGTTCCTCAGCAGACTGAGCCAGGAGGGCTCTGGGTTCAAGGCTTGCCTGAACTGCAGAGGGAGTTCATAGGCATCCCAGGTAACTTAATGAGATTCTCACCTCAAAACAACAACAACAAAACTACACAGAAGTCTTGGGAATATATGTTAGTAGTAGATTGCTTGCCCAGGGTCATGAGATTCAATTCCTAACACCAGAACAACAACAACAAATACGCCAAGGGGGAGTGTACAGGTACACATACAAGACACATACAAGTAGACACATAAGATGCCATAAACCCAAACCAGCAAGGTCCTTGGTGTCCCGAGCACAGCAGTAATTCAGGCTTTGGATTTGGGGTGGGGTTTTCTAAGTCCCCACTTGCCATTCATTCAGAAGGAAGATGCAGCTTAACCAGGGGCCAGCAGAGAGAGCCTTAGTGGTGGGGCACACAGCCATTACCCCGAATAATCTAAACTTAGACTCAGTTTACCCGATATGCAATAAATACTAAGGCCTGACTCACACCCAGGATTCCTTCGGAAATTGGACAGTGCCTTAACAACCGCATATGGATGACCAAGTATTAGGTTCTGGCTGTCTTGATTAGATTTATCCCTTACAGCATCCCCAGGTGGTATCTTTACTGAAATGTTCAAAACCAGACCATTTATCTGATAAAACCAAATCTCCCATGTGTTAACAGTGGAACCAGCTACCAGGGTGGCGTAGTGCACAGGAGCTGCTGCAGAGGCCAGGCCCAGAGGCCAGCTGTTTTCTTTACAGCAGATTCAATGCTGTCCAGGGGTGGATGAAATGTGGAGGAGGAATGCTCCTCAAGGATCTGGTCCTCTGTTGGTTATGTGGCCAGTACCTCAAAGGGCACACACAATTTCCTTCCCCTATAAAGTGAATCTGGGCATTGTATAGCTGGAAGGGGCGTGGCTCCATCTGAATCCCTCAAAGGACTGAAGGCAAAGGTGTTCTTCCCTGACTGACAGAGTCATGGCGGAAGCTTAGCAAGAGAGAGTGTCTTGCTCAAGGGAGGCCTGCTTTCTTAGCCACACACTCACACACGGGGGCTGGAGGTTTTCACACATCGGATCTCAGGAGTAGCTACAGCCTGACTGTTGAAGCTGAGCACACTCGTTAACTGGAACCCGGGAACATTTCTTCTTTATAAACCACATACATGGTAATAACATTGGGGGAAGCTTACCTTTCAGCCACTTTGGACATTTTCAAACAATGTCTGTCAATCTGTGCGTTCAAAAACGTTATCTGGCGGAAAGAGAGAACATGGGTGCTGAGGCCAAAATAGAACTTCATTCTCCTCCGTCCCGTGAACCCAAACCCCTGCTATCACACCACGGTCTAAACACCTCCTCAGACAACACTCCTACGCTGTAGCTGGAGCTCCGGCAACCCATTCACCCTTTTAGAAACTCCCGTCACACTTAACATTCTTATACAATTTAGCTTATGTCTAATTTTTACCTGTTCATAACTATCATTTACTCTTTGCTTTTCCCCAAAAATTATTCACTCAAAAGATAGTATGTAGTCTCCAAAGCTTGGCAACAGAATGATTAGACAATATCTATGCTATAAAAATCTTTTTTGCACTAAGCCCCCTTAACAGTTCCTCTGCCTAGTGTCCATGTGTATAACCGCACCCGCGTATTGGTCTAGAAACAGCAAAGAGCTACTTTGCATCTGCTTATCAAGGAATGTCATTTAAAGTTACTCCTCTAGAGCAATCAGGGTTCCCTGCCCTGTGGGAAGTCCAAGGACCTCCCACCTCCATCCAGGTCTAGTAAGGTGAGCATCCAAACTGCCTAGGCTCCCACAAAGCCAGTACGTGCAGTAGGATCAAAAACCCATTGCCATTGTTCTTGAGTTCTCAGTAGTCCTCATTGTCTGCTATGTTCAGCGAGTCCGGTTTTATCCCAGGCTTTTTCATACCCAGGCCAGCTGGCCTTGGTGAGTTCCCG